TTGGCCCGGTGCAAATATTAGTTTTGGGCCCCCATCGCCCAAACATAAGCGCATCACACACGCACGGACATACACAACACTCAGAAGCGCCACATGTAGGCCTATCAACAACTGCCTGCCCTGGCCTCAGACCACCACAGCCTGACAACGGCACAGCGAACTAAGGAAGCAGGAGTTACACCTGTTTCCTTGATGTTTGTCTATGGGGAGATGGGCCAGGAGGCCTACATGGACATGTTGCTATAATATAGAACTTTTATCTTGGTGCGGGGGTCTGCCAATGAGTGTCCTAGATATGTCCTCCATTAGTCCGTGTCGGTGGCCCTTGGGGAAACTGTTGGGACCTCCGCCGGGCAACAGCCAAATCCCAGCATCTCCTCCTCCTGGCCTGGCTGGAGAGAAGGTTGCACGGGCCACGGATACAGCTTTCACTTGTGGAGCGAGATGGCAATGATGAATGGTGTAAGGCAGGTGAGCTATTGTTAGCCTCGGCCGCTCCGGATCAACATTCTAACATATAGCGCTCGATTTCGAGGACGGATGGTAATGCACAAAAGAAACTGGTCTATCTTGTTCTCAGTTATCAATCAAGTTTTATTTATATAGCACATTTAAAAGTGATTTTTGGTCAAGCCAAAGTGCTGTACATGTAATAAAAACACATTACTACAAATAGAAATATATAAAAAACAAAAACAAAGGGAATAGTCAGGTGTCATACTCCACTCTGACTAGAATGCCAGAGAGAAGAAGTGTGTCTTTAGTGTAGACCTCACATGGAGGGGCAGAGTGTTCCAGAGCCTAGGGCCAGCTGCTGCGAAGGCTCGGTGCCCTCTGGGTTTTGAGCCTAGCTGTTACATCTCCTTGTCCTTTCTCTTTTGAGCGCTGCTCTTGTGCTTTGGTTTGCTGTACATTATAAATGCAAGCTATTACATTTTTTTATAATGCTACCGAACTTGCTGCTGCTGCTAGCTACAGTACAGGTTGATTAAACGGTTTGCTCGTCACGCAAGGTATCACATGACATGAAAGGGAGCAAGGCCATTGTACAGACAAATTACACATTCATTTAGGTTGCTTGGTTACTTTGAAGACTGCGTGAACCGGTCAATGCCATTGGGGCTGCAGCGTCGATAGATACGCCACTGCACATAGCTATCATATGCCTAAAACAGGGTGTCCTGACGCTCTTCTAGGTAATCATACATCCTGTTACGTACACAGCTACGTAGGGCCTTTGTTATCATATGCTACTCTGATATTAGAAGAGTACATTCAGTATTTTCTTAAGAAGAACAGAGCTAATCATGGCTGACACTGAGGTACTTCCTGCTCATACCCTCAGTTAGAAATCTTCCTGGGGACAAAAGACTCTTATGACTGCAACCCTCTGGTTTCTCTGCTCTCCTCTGCAGGTCTATGAAGAGATGAGGGCCATCGGAGCTGCAGCAGCGGAGCCCAAGGCCCGCAGAATCCTGGCCGGTCTGTCCTTCACCACCGAGATGCAGAACAGACCCACCAAGAGGTTCTCCGGAGGCTGGAGGATGAGAGTCTCCCTGGCCAGGTACAGCTTCACTAAAGTCATGGATGGAAGTGATCAGAAGTTCTGTTTCACTCACTGTTCACATGTGTTCCCACAGAGCCCTGTTCATGGAGCCCACCCTACTGATGCTGGACGAGCCCACCAACCACCTGGACCTGAACGCTGTCATCTGGCTCAACAAGTAAAGAGCCACTTTTAATCTCCATCAAACCTTAGTGGTTAATATTGGTTGTTTTAAATCAGAAGGAATCATGTTGTTGGTCTGCAGCTAATCACATTGCTCTCTATGGCCTCCCAGTGTGGGCCAGGAAGTGCCCACCCCTCACTGAGGATATTTAGTTATGTATATCTGGTTCTGAAAGGGGGTATAATACAAGCGTTGGGTGCTCCTTGGCTTCAGTCAGTGTAAAGATGAGTGTGTCAGAATCAGAATACTTTATTTATTATAATATAGACTTTTGGGTGACATGCTCCAGTTGAGAATTACAAAAATAAAATATAAAAAATATATATTTATACAAACACTAAGATTTAGTATGGATTGATGGATAAATAAATACAATTATGAATAAATACAAGATATTTATGTTGACATAAGAATTAAATAATATAATAAAGGTCTAAAAGATTAAATAAATTAAAATCAAAATAGTTTATGTAAAAATGTGCACATTGTACAATATAGTATAATATAATTTATATACATTTGAATAAGATCCATCTTGCTTGGAACTGTGTAGACTGCTGTTGTTGCTAACTAGGCTTCATGGCTCCTGC